ATCCAAAATCCAACTCGCTGGATCATTTACATTTCGCATCATTTATTGTTCCTTAGATTAAGTAAAAATGGATTAAAAATAATGCTGAAGTTTTAGGGGTCAAGTGACCAGACAGAGTAGTGCTATTACAAAAAGCATAGGATTGTAAGAATTTTTTTATGATGTTGTATTGGGTTTGTGTGGCAAGGTTTTGGTACTAGGGGGGCTACAGGGGTGGCTACTGTGAGAAGTTGCTAGAAGCTTCCCCCATGCCCAACAGAGTCAATGCCAGCTGGCTCCAAGGAGGACCCACACCTGGCCAAGGCCGAGCTCATCAGCGGCGGTGCTAGTGCCTCCAGGATAATGTGTTTAAGAAGGCAAAAAAGACTAATGCAGAACAGTGGCCGGGAGAGAGGAGTGAAAGGAAGTGAGAGAAACAGTCCTGCAGACACCAGAAGGAGTGGGGGTAGGTGCTCCAGGTGCCAGAGCAGAGATTCCCCTGCAGCCCCTGGTGCAGCCCCTGGTGGGGCAGGCTGTGCCCCTGCAGCCCAGGGATGTCTATCATGGAGCAGATCTCCACCTGCAGCAAGGGGAAGACCCCATGCTGGAGCAGGGGGATGTGCCCAAAGGAGGCTGTGACCCCATGGGAAGCCCGCGCTGGAGCAGGCTCCTGGCAGGGCCTGTGGCCCCCCGGGGGGGGGGGGGGACTCATGTTGGAGAAGTTCATGGAGGACTGTCTGCCATGGGAGGGACCCCAGGCTGGAGCAGGGTCAGATGTGAGGAGTCCTCCCCTGAGAAGGAAGGAGCGGCAGAGTGTCATGAACTGACCCCAACCCCCATTCCCCGTCCCTCTGCACTGCTCAGGGTGGGGAGGAGGTAGAGAAGATCAGGAGTGAAGTTGAGCTGGGGTGTGGGGAAGGTGTTTTAAGATTATGGGGTTTTTTAATTCTTGCCTACTCAGATTTGAATTTTGGTTATAAATTAAACCGATTTTCCCCAAGTCAAACCTGTTTTGCCAGTGATGGTAATTGCTGAGTGATCTCTCCCTGCCCTTATCACAACCCACTGGCCTTTCTTTGTATTTTCTCTCCGGCTTTGGTAGCGCGGCTTTGGTGGGCACCTGGCACCCAGCCAGCCTCAACCCACCGCAGATGTGATATGAAAATACAGGATTGGACAAAGTTTGTTCTTCTGGTGAAAAGGAGAGATTTATTACTTAAAAGCACTGAATGCACTGCCGAAAGAGCCCTCCCCAGAACTACTCTCATGTAGTTTTATGATGGGATGATAGCTAGAAGAATAAGGAGCACATTTCAGCTGTGCCCTGGGCTGTCAGCCTCCACACTGAGCCAACAAGAAGTGGAGCGCTACTGGACCTTGTGCTGGCAAATAAAGAAGAACTGGTTGAGGATGTGAAGGTAGGGGGCAGGCTTGGCTGCAGTGACCACGAGATGGTGGAGTTCCGGATTCTGAGAGGTGGAAGCAGAACAACAAGTAGGACTGCCACATTGGACTTCAGGAGAGCTAACTTTAGCCTCTTCAGGGACCTACTTGGAAGAATTCCTTGGGCTAAGGCTCTTGAAGGTAGGGGAGTCCAAGAGAGCTGGCTGCTATTTAAACAGGTGCTCAGGACCGGTGCATCCCTGTGCGTAGGAAATCAAGTAAACGAGGTAAGAGGCCTGCATGGATGAACAAGGAGCTTCTAGTGAAACTCAAAGAAAAGAGTAAGCTCCATGGAATGTGGAAAGAGGGTCAGGCCACTTGGGAGGCATACAGGAATGCTGCCAGAGCATGCAGGGAAGCAACTAGAAAGGCCAAGGTTCACCTGGAACTAAGTTTGGCAAAGGATATCAATGATAACAAGAAGGGCCTCTTCAAGTATATCAGCAGCAAACATAAGACTAGGGGAAATGTGGGCCCGCTGCTGAACAAAATGGGTGCCCTGGTGACAGAAGATACAGAGAAGGTGGAGCTACTGAATGCCTTCTTTGCTTCAGTCTTCACTGTCGAGGCTGGCCCTCAGGCTCCCCAGTCCTTGCAGGTAAGCGAGCAAGCTTGGAGAAAGGACAACCTTCCCTCGGTTGAGGTGGATCAGGTTAGGGATCTTTTAAGGAAGCTGGACACCCACAAATCCATGGGTCCTGATGGAATGCACCCACCAGT